CAAATCATGGTTGGTTTGGTTGTTGATGGTGGTCTAACTTGGAATGAAGTGGTATAAAACATCCTCAATATTCCTTTTGTGAGGAGGCTAGTATGGAGGTACATTGCTTTGTCCGTCGGAGGTAAACCCTTGTGATGGTGGGTTCTGAACAAACCCTTATTGTAGTGGGTGCATGGACTTGGGACCTAAAGACTAGGCAGGACTAAAAACAAATTGATTATGAGGGGCATAAGATATAGAAGTGGAAGGTTAAACCTAGGTGTCATTCCTCCAAGTAAAATTTGGATGGTTAAGCTAACTCTGATTATATGTGTGTAAGGGGAATTTTGTTACCTTGTTTGATTAAAGGCGTTCACCTACTCTTAGAGGACCTCTTTACAGGCTGGTAAGGCTGGGCACTCTTTGAAAGAATGCTCAACCGAATCACATAAAGATCAAGCCCCCTCCTAAGGCATACTTATTACCTCTTTCACCTTCCTTACTTCTAAGTTTTCCATTTTTCCTTGATAGATGGACAATCTTGGATAAAAACTCATCTTATTCTCTTAATGCATATTCTCCACCCCCAATAGATTGGGATGTAATAGATTGCTTTAAGCGCTCAACAGGATAAAAAATGTCCCAAGATTGGGCATTCTCTACTAGGCTCTCAAAGTAATCTAGAGCTTCCTTGGCCTTTTTTCCTAAAAACTCTCTATTACACATCATGTCTATGAATTGGAGATGAGATGGTGTGATTCCTTCACATAAAAAACTCACTAGCTGCCATGGTTCAAATCCATGATGTGGAATGGCATTTAAGAGATCCTTGAACCTCTCCTAGTAGTCATAGAACTGTTCATTAGATTTTTTAGAAAAATTTTGAATTTGCTTCTTTAAAGAAATTGTTCTATGAACTGAGAAAAATTTCTTAAGGAACTATTTTTGTAAATCAGCCCAAGTAGCTATGGTTCTAGGCTTAAGATAGATGAATCAAGTCTTTGCTTTGTCTTCTAGTGAAAACAGGAATAGTTTCATTCTTGCTACTTCTTCACATACATTTTGCTCAAGAAATGTGCTACCCACCTCCTCATCCTTGATATGGAGGTAAGGATTCTCTCTTTCCACACCATGGAATTGTGGAAGTAGTTGGAGCATTCCAAGTTTAACGATAAAATTTTATGCTTCCACCAGCAAAAGTATGCACGAGGGTGCAGAAAAATGGGTAGGTTGAAGATATTCTCTCATTGTCCGCACAGGAGGAATGGGTGAGAGATTATCTCCAACATTCCCAAGATTATAAATGGGAGGAACTAGTAGAAAGTTATTTCCTTGATTTCCTAGGTTCGGTGGATTCTCATTCTTTACTCCTTCCATGTCAACAATGTGTGTGGGGTCAAGTCTTATAATTCTGTTATGAACGTTGTCTCATGCCCACATACAAAAGAACTAAACTATAAATAAAGATTAAAAAACAATAAACTAAAAGTAAAGTACAGTAGACCGTTAGACTTACCTGGCGAACTCTAAATCACCTCTTGAATCAACGTCGCCTTCCCCAACAATGACACCAAAAATGCTTACTTCTCCAAGTGGGGTAAATTAATAAGGTATTTCCAAGCATAGGAAAGATATCATGTTTGTAACTCGATCTATTACTGAGGTCATCCGCTCAAGAAAAAAGATTGGCTCAAGGGGTGATAAATAAAGGAAAATAAAAAATCTAGATTTTAGAATTTAGCAACTAATTTTTTTTCTAAGGGGGGAGGGGGCAGTGGGTTTGAACCCTTTACATCAAGAATGAAAAGCTTTTACAAGTTAAGAAGTACCATTGGACCAAAGACCAATTAATGTAGAATTTAGCAACTAAAGAATAACAATTAAAACAAAGACCAGTTAATCAAAAGAGTTTATCTCACCATGAACATATATTTTGACTCAATTCATTGAGATTGTAATCAAACAAAAAATATTCGATTGACACCCAATTAAAAATAACAAATGTGTATTCAAGTCAATTGCTTTGATTTTGAAAGAATTACACTCACTTCAATTACAGTAATTCCAAGAATTTCCCCTACCAGACTTAATTGTCTATGGTTAAGTAAGAAGATATACCTATTGAAAATATTTTTAACATTAATCATTCAAATAACCAAAAATACTTAATCGAGTCAAAATCCCTGATTCACATATGAGACTCCATCATCCGATCAAACTAGAGTACGACTTCTCACTTATTATCGAATTGAAAATGAAAGCAATTGAAGAAATCATGATTGTAATTTAAAGCAAGGAAACTTGAATTCAAATTGTGAGTAAATGTAAATACCTTGAATTAAATTACAAGAATGTAAATCGTGCACAAAGTAAATCTTGAGAGTAAGAGTGTTGCAAGAATTAAATAACTTGAAATTAGACAAAGCTTGTAACTTGACCAATGGAGAAAACTCTTGAAAGCAAAAACCTTTCTAAAAGAAAGAAGAAAGAATGATCAAACAAAGTCTTCTAACGATGATTTTAATGATGCCTTCTCTCTTGCCAGACTTGGGTAATTATAGGAAAACATATGCTGATTTTTCTCCTTTTAATCCACCAATCACAGCGTTTAAAATAATGAGTAGATTCTTTTCCAAATCTATCCTCATAGTAGAGTTATAGTAACCTACCAGTAAGATGCAGAGAATGACCTATCAGTATAACTATTCACTATTTTGCACAAACTGGTTGCCTTTCTCTTCTACTAGTAGAATTCCTTTTGTGTTTCAAAACCTACCGATAGAACAATAGTCACCTACTGGTAGAACAACTCTCTGTTTTTCTTCTACTAGTAGGAATGAACTTCTACTACTATAACCAATTTCTACCTCCAATTGAACCGATAGAAGACCTATTGGTAGAACGTGTCTTTTCTTCAATTATGATTGTAGTGGTCTTGGCTTCACTCCTGAACCTCCTATACATTTACATGAATTTTGCTGCAAACACCAATTTCCTCCAAAAAAATATTAAACTAAACCAAAACTAAGGAATTACGTAACTAATATACCTAAGATGGATGATATGATACCTATAATATGCAAGACTATGCTCTCATATCCATCTCTATTTGATCATCTAGCAGACTACTCTAAGGCATGTAGAACTCAATTTTCATGCATCCTAGAGCAATGTTCTCTCACTTAGTTCAATTTCAGTCACACGTGTTCAAATTTTGCACATTTAGTCAATTCATATTTTTCATATTTATATCCCACCTATTCATATGGATTCAGTTAGCACGATTGTGAATTTCGTACTTTAAATGTTATGGTTCTAAGCTTGTGTAGCATAGCTCTCTGGGCTTTACAAGTGAACAGTGACATTAAGCATATAATACTCTCAACAATTTATGTGCAATTGATACTTAGCCATTTATTTTATGGCTCACCTTTTTAAATTTGACCACATTGAGCTCGTTTCTCACATTTGGCTCTTTCACGTCTTTTAAGGGATTTGAGGCTTTACTAACCTTTAGCCATGTGGTCACCCATCACCAACACTTAGATTCTTATATGGTAATTAATCAATTAAGTTTGCTAGACTCATAAGTATGAAAGCAAATAGTTGATGTTTACTTAGTTTTTGAATTTTCACAAATAGCACATATTCGACACACCAGGAAAAAGAGCATTGGTTCAAGAATAAACCATTAGGACTTATAATCATCAAGTTCTGAATTCCTCAATATTTCTCATAATACACCCAACTTTTAATTGATGATGGATACGCTATAAATCGAAGTTTGACTATCATGATGAACAACAATAACAAAAAACCAAAAAGAAAATCCTTTTGTTTTTTTTTTCCTATTTTTTTTATATTTCTCAAATAATATATAAACAGAAAAATATGCATAAGCATGCAAACACGGGAAAAATAAAGCAATTATTATAAATCCCAGAAGGATGTCCAACTAGACACCAAATGATTTTATTTTATTTTTGCATTATCAATGTCTCATTTTTTTTTTGTGTTTTGCATTTATGAAAATAAAGTAAAATAAACAAATTAAAAATATATACAATGTATGACCCTAGGATGTTTCATGCAATGCATGAATGGTGCACCTAGGTCCATACTCTCACCTCACCTACTTCTTAGATGACTCAACATCCTTGGTAGCACTCATGACTTCCAATTTGGTTGAGGCGGTGAGCCTCTTTAAGTCCTCTTGACTCACCAAAACTTGTTATCCCTTACAAATTCTATGTTTTGGTTGGGGAATGGGTGTAGGACTTACTCTCTTCTCTCTAGATGTGAATAGATCAACTTTGACATGGGGAATAAAAGGAACTTTATTCACTCTAGCTTGTGAGGTCTTGATGGATGATGCATGTGTATGCTTGGACTCACCAATACTATCCATTAGCTTAGAAGGATGTGTCACTTAATTGTTCAAAGCTTTGGATTGGTAAGCTAAGAGTGTGAGCTTCTTATTCAAGACTTTCCTATTTTACAAGCAATGCGTGCTATAATGACCACATTCTCCACATGTGAAATACACAAATTTTTTAGTTTGGGTTACCTTTATAACTTTCCCTTACCAGTTTTAGCTTTTGTAGGACTTGTGTTTGCACTTGGGGGCAATGGGTTGGGATTAACCTCTACAAACATGGTTTTGGAAGAAGTGGTGGTGGTGTATTCATTAGTTTAGACTATACACCTTTTGTTACCAACACTCTTCCCCATAGACAACATTTTATTAAACTTTCTAGACCCAAGGGAAATTCTCGTAGATAGTTCTTTTGATTTATGAAGTGATTTATCAAGCTTTATCAATTTTGACTCAAGACACTACTTGGACTCAACTAGCCCATTACACTCTTTCTCAAGGAAGCTCAACTTGTCCTTTGAGGACTAGTTCTCTTCCCTAAGCCCGCAAATTTGGCCTTTAGACTTCACCAAGTCCACATGTACTTTTTTCTCTTCTTCTTTTCTTTACTCTTCTTGAGCCTCATGTTCAAGAATATATCCCTCTTCTATTGCTTGACTAATTGCTCACATAATTGATCATAAGCATCCTGAATATCTTCAACACTCTCAATGCCATCCTCATTTGTAGAGACTTGAACAACCAAGTTGTCTATCTCCATGGTAGGACTTGTTTCCTCATTCTCACCTTCTTCAACAACTGAAGGTTCTCTAGGGAGAGAAGAATATGTGCCAATAAAGATCGTAGATTTCTCCTCCCCTTCTTGAGAGGAAGAGTCCTCACTTGATGTGGATTCATTACTAGTGTCGCTCTACTTAGTCTTCATTACTCTCCTATTTTCTTTGGGCATGCCCTTGTTCTTAGCACTAGGACATTTTTCAGCCATGTTTCCAAAGCCTTGACACTCATAACAAGCACTAGGACATTTCTCAGCCATGTATCCAAGCCTTGACACTCAGCATTGGATCCCTTGTCCTTTCTTCTTGACTCCTTGTAGAGATGTTCTTTCCCCTTTCTTCCCTACTTAGGAGTTTTCGGTCCACTAAACTTCTCTTTTGACCTAGAGCAACAAGTGTTAGCTATTATTTTTTCCTGCCAGATGCTAAGTGGGCACATATGAAGCTCCTAATGACTCATAGTGAAAATATAAAGACTTTTAATGACATTTCGCGTCATCTCAAGCTTGAGTTAGAGCACTTGGAAATGAACCGCCCAATTGCTCTTGTCTCCCAAGATGGGATGCATAGGCCTTCACAACCTAAGTAATAGGAGACAAGGGAAGGTTGCTAAGTAGGGAGCTAGAAATCATGGACCTAAGGTACATAAGGTCACCAAGCCCCATAGAGGAAAACAAAATGGCAAAATAGATGTAGCAAAATTGAAGTTCTACAATTGTGGAAGAAGGTACACTTCGCTCGTAACCGTATCGATCCAAAGAAGGTATACCCTTCATGAAACTCTATCTGTGACGCTCCTAAACTGGGGGTCCTTTGTCAACCTTTGACCATCCGTCAATTCACAGAAATACCCGTATTTGTCACGCAACTCGACGTCACGACAATAACATCCCCTTCCTGGTATTATAACCCAGACGTGTCACCCTTGTACATTTTATCATTTAATCAAATTGTGGTCCAATGTACCACATTTCATGCTCCATTATAGTCCATTTATATTCTGGGAACCAAAGAATCCATAGCCCAAAAGCTTGGCAAAGTAATTTTAAAAATTTCAAAATTTTGGAAAGTCTACCGGTAGGCCATACCGGTACGGGTTGCCCACTAGAAAAGCTATACCAATTCGGGAGCCCACAGGAAAAATCTGTACCAGTACGGGTAACCCATAGGAAAATCTGTACCAGTATGGCTAACCCACTAGACCGCGTTATATCGGTACGCCATACTGGTATAGTATGCCGACTTTTGCCTATTTCACCTATTTTTAATTTCCAATCCATTTCAACCTATTCCAATACCATCCAAAATATGCTTAATAAGGTTTCTCACATAAAACCTATTGTATACAAGTTCTTTTACAGATAATTCCATATGATTACATGCCCAAAATATAATTTTCACAAAAATTATACAGAATGAGCTATCAAAAGCCACAAGTCGGCGCTCTTAATCTTTGAGGCTTGAAATGAGAGTCTTCCGTAGGTGTGAACCTCGCGCTTGCAACATTTTCCTGTATAGGGTGAGCTACGCTCAATAGAGTATCTCCTACACAGGCTACTCCCCCCTAGATGGATATGAAATATGCACATGCAACAATCAAACATCAATTTCCATTCCAAACAAGGATATGTCATTCAATGTTGGAATTCTATTGTGTCATGTTATGATATGAGATAACACTCACTCATGCACTTTAACCGAAGTCCTCACTGACTCTTGCAACACAATGCAATGCTAATGTGTAGCAAATCTATCATTGATGAATTTCATCCAATGATCATTTAAAAATAAAGGTCATGTGTTTATAAAATCAAATTTTGTTGGATGACACACATCGAATGACCATTTATAAAACAAAATCATGTGTCTTTGTTGGGTATCGATTTTGGAATCACACCGCTGGCTCCGTAGGCCATTACATTTTTCCAGAATTTCACTACAGGGGAGTGTATGAACTAAGTAACTGCGTCTTGCACCCGAGGAAGAGTCTAGCCCTTCTTGTTATACTCGACACAAGTTTTTCTTTCATGCAACCATGCGACTTAGTCAGATCTTCGATCCAACTTTTTCGAGCCCACTCATCAATTACCAAGTATGATGATTGATCCAACCACGCACACACACACCCATACTCATGTCCATGGATGTATTTTCCCCGTGCAAATGCAATGTAATGCACCATTGCAATATCAATGTCATGCTCCATATGTAATGAATGTCATATGAGCTAATTTAACCACATACTTCGACATAAGTGTGACGCCCCAAAAACCAGGGGTCCTGTTGATAACCCATCAACCCGCAGAATACCTGTGGAGATCGTATAACTCGATACCATACCGTTGTGTCCCATTTATCGGGATCCATAATTTAACAAAATTGGGCGGAGTCTCCTTTGTACGAAGAGCTCCACCCAAGATACAACCTATATACCATACAATCATATGACCCATTCAAGGTCCAACATACCACGTTGACCACACCGGATCCATTGATCCATACTCCGACATCATAAGTTATTCATTAACATAGTTAATAAAAGTTCAAGGTTACAATACTTTTACATATATTACATGCCAAACATAGTTTGAACAAAAGTTTACAAAACAGTCATGGTTAAAGACCACATGTCCGCCCCTCTTCACCCTTGAGGCCCCGAATAAGACTCCTCTGCCAGTGCGCACCCTGCACCTGAAATGTTTCCTGTATAGGGTGAGCCAATGCCCAGTAGAATATTTCCTACAGAGGCTACTCCCCATCCTAAGTGCATATGAAATGTGCACATGCAACAAATAACCACCTTTTTCATTCCAAACAAGAATAATGCATTCAATGTTGGAACATGATAATGTCATGCCATGAAATGAGATGAGACTCATTCATGCATCTACTCTCAAGTCCACACCGACTCCCACCACACAATGCGATGCATATGTGTAAAACATTTGTCTTTGATGGAATACATCCAAAGATCACCTTTTGAAAAATGCAATCCATGTTTTATAAAACCCATTCATTCTTGAATGTTTCCCATCAAATGAATATATTTTAAAACAAATTCATGTGTCTTTGTTGGGTAGCGGATTTTTGGTGTCGCACCATCGGCTCCGCAAATCGATACACTTTTTGGACTTTCACCGTCGGAGTGTATGAACCAGTGACCGCGTTTTTCACCAGAAGGAGTGTCTACCCCTACTTGTTGTACCCGACACATGTTTTTCTTGCAACTCTGTTGAACCTTGGTCCAACAGTACCGAGCCCAAGATTTTCATGTAACCATGCAACTGTGCGACTCAATAGGATGTTTCATCCTACTTTCCCGAGCCCACCACCAACCACCAAGGATGATGATTGACCAACCATGCAACCACACACCCATGCTCATGGTTATGAATGTGTTTACCCCATGCATATGCAATGTAATGCATCATTGCAAACTACTGCCATGTTCAAAATGTAATGAATGTCATATGAACAATTTCAACATATCCCATGATCAATTATATCCAAATATATAAATTTCATGATCATCATAATGCTAACATATCGTTAAGCATACATCAACATAACATTAAAATTGTAAATCACATCATAAGCATGTAATTTCACTTTACCACATTTTTCAAGCAAGCTATTTTATCAAACACAACTTTAATCATTCAAGGTATTTTATCAAACACCTTCAAGGCACCAATCATGTAATCACATAATTCACTCATATTCATCATATAACTCAAGAAATCATATTAAGTGATTTCTACCGTTGACCACCCGTCAACCCATGAAAAGATCCATGAATGTCACACAAATCGACATCAAGTCAATAATATCTCTTTTGTCCGAGATTTTAACTCACACGTGTAACCCGTGATCCTTTAATCATTTAATCCAATCGAGACCTAACACACCTCAATATATATCATTTGAATCCAAAAAACACATAGTGATGAGTGAAAAATATTGCATATTTGAAGGCCTCATTACATGCATTTTAACTCAACTTTTGCATATAAGTACTTAGAGTGAGCCGAAATTATGAATACTGTTGATATTTGGATGTTGCAAGTATTTATAGCATAAATCAAGTATTTTAGAACCTTGAAACTATCTTGGATGTGTAGTGAAGGTATGACCACATTACATAAGGATTTGGAGGCTTAGAAGTTAAGAAATCAAAGAGGTATTGGTGTTTGGTAACAAAGGTACCAGCACTAGCTCTCTCTGGTGGAAGTACCTCTAGTTTTCTCCATTTGGACCATGATCCACTCATAATCTGGACACGTTCAAAATACAAAAGTTGTAGATCTAGATGTCTTCTGTATTGTTTCCAAATTTCAGCTCCCTCCAACGGTTGGATCCAAAGTTATGACGATTCTACGACAACTGGTCCAGAGCAGAAAAGTGTACCGCTTTTCTTCACCCAATTTCTATATCCATTGCAAATCCTTTCTTACAATATTTATTTTGCACATTTAGGCACCCTTTTCCCACACTTAACATACACTAATGGTGCATTCAACAAGATAATTTATCTCAAGTCATGCCACCCATCCTCAATACCCCTTTTTAACTAAATCATCAATTTCAAACTAGAAATTGATTATATCCTTTCTACACCAACTCCATAACCATAGGCAAGTGAATTACATAGTTCCATATGCCTACCATTTTTCCATCCAACCAACTATAGTGGGAAAATTTTAAAATACACAAAACAATCCATGTAAACCCAATTTTCCAAGAGTTTACACTAATAGCTTCCACATATCAAATGTGAGCTAAAACTTGATTTTTCTTCCTTCTCTTTCAATCTCCCTCACTTTAGGTTTCCAACAAGCAAGAACACACACACACACACTGATGTATGAGTTAAATACACTCACTTTTCTACATATTAAAGCACACATAACTTCCATCCAAGAAATTACACAAGTACTTCCACATAGCAAAACAAAGTAGGACTTGAATCAAACCCATTCTACACCTACTTCCTCAAGGCATAAAATAACATTTTCTATTTAATCACAATTCAC